CCCATTTTGTAACCTGACTTTTTTCATTTATCTTGTTTAGATAAGGTCCTCGGCGTCCACAGCTGAGTATTTTTCAAGTTGAAACCAAATTTTGTTACTTTGGTCTGCATATATATGTATATGGGTGTGTATATATATATATGTATATGTGTGTATATATACATATGTGTGTGTATCTATCTATCTATCTACATGTGTGTGTGTGTGTGTGTGTGTGTATCCAGACCACAGTAACAGAAAAAGATACTCAGCTGTGGACGACAAAACCGTACCTAAACAAGATATATATGTATATATATATACATAGAGAGAGAGAGAAAGAAAAAAAGAATGTTGATAAATAGGTAGATATAGAGATAGATATACATTAAGTAACTGATTCTCTGATTGACATATTTCATACATTCATATTTATCAAAAGGAAAAAACAAAACTTACTTTTCATTTTTCTAACGTTTAATAAAAAAAAAGAAAGCAAACAAAACATATCTTGTCTTTATCATAACATTTACAACAAAAACACGTCACAAATCTATTACAAAAGTCTCACACAAAAACACAGATATTATCAATAAAATTATATCTACGATGATTTAGAGCAATGACGTGTGCAATGTCCCACAGCGGCGAGCAGGAGGAAGAAGACTGAAAAAAAAGAAAATAGATAGACACAATAATAATGAGGATAAATGAAAATAAAATACAAAAGTGAATGAGATAGATAAAAATAAAACAGCAAACTGAAAGAGAGAGAGAGAGAGAGGGGGAGGGAGGGAGAGAGAGAGAGAGAGAGAGAGAGAGAGAGAGAGAGAGAGAGAGAGAGAGAGAGAGAGAGAGAGAGAGAGAGAGAGAGAGAGAGAGAGAGAGAGGGGGGGGGGAGGGAGAGAGAGAGAGAGGAGAGAGAGAGAGAGAGAGAGAGAGAGAGAGAGAGAGAGAGAGAGAGAGAGAGAGAGAGAGAGAGAGAGAGAGAGAGAGAGAGAGAGCGGGAGACCAGAATAGAGACCAAACGGAAACCACGCGCCTTTACCTCCAGCCGAAATAGCAGCGACGCCGATGCTGGACGCCGTCCTGGCCTGGAAGCGGCAGGTGTACTCGTGACACTGGGTGAACGACAGGAAGGCGGCGAGCGCGACGGCGAGGAGGAGGACGCCCAGGATGAACAGCTTCACGACCACCCGCGTCGTGCAGTAGCGGTCGTCGCGGTTGTACCTCTGCGGAGAAGGTCGTGTGTGTACATATACACATATACACACACAGAACACACACACACACACACACACTCGATTTGGCACCAGCGGCGTTGCAGAACGAGGTTGCAAGCGACAACGAACCGCCTCAGGCAATCCGGATTTTTCCTCAAGGTTGACTCCCGAAGCCTTTTATATCTTAAAAATGCCATAAGACACTAGATTCATTTGCATGTATATATATATGTATACATATATATACATACATACATGCATACTCATATGTGCGTGAGTGTGTGTGTATATGTATTCTATATCTACTCGTATATCTATATCTACATCTCTCTCTCTCTCTATGTATATATATATATATACATATACACACATATAAGCATATATACATATATATATGTGTGTGTGTGTGTGTATGTGTATGTGTGTCTGTCTGTGTGTGTGTGTATGTGTATATGTGTTGGTTTGTGTGTGTGTATGTGTGTTTGTGTGTTTGTGTGTGTGTGTGTCTGCGTGTACGTGTGCGCGCGCGCGCGTGTGTGTGTGCGTGCGCGCGCGCGTGTGTGCGTCTATGTGTATGTGATATATGCATGTTTAGGTCTGTGTATATACTTACGAAGCCATCCGCTGGAACTTGGACGAACTGAACGTTAGGCCTTTGTACCTGAAAAACAATAATAAATGAATCAATGAAAACTTCATCATGCAACTTCCTTTCAGTTTTTTTATTACAAAATTCCCAATACCCCGAATGCACTTTTTCCGTCGAACTTGACAGCGTTGTGTTAAATCATGTACACTTTTCTGTTATTTGATAATATCGGTGATTTGATTGAAATCACCAAAAGTAATAGCAAAAAAATAAGTGTATGTGTGTGTAAATGTGTGGGTGTGTGTATGTGTGTATATATACGTATATGTCTATATATATATGTAGATATATACGTATGTATATATGTATATGTATATATATGTACACATGCGCATGCGTGTACATATATATACATATATATACACACACATATATATATATATTCATTAAAATTCTGCTACTTAACATGTCGATATTAATTTTAAAATATGTGATTATATTGCAATTGCTTTCATAGTCGTTGCTGAGGAAATTTTTGGTTTATAAAACGTTTCTAATTCTTCCTAAATTATCAAATATCAAATATATTTGATCAACTGTAAGAACAATATCAAAGAATATTCTGTTGAACTGAATCACAAATCGATAATCATAAAAACAGAAATGATTAAAAACAAAAGTGATTCGAGATCGAGATACACACACACACACACACACACACACACACACACACACACACACACACACACACACACACACACACACACACACACACACACACACACACACACACACACACACACACACACACACACACACACACACACACACACACACACACACACACACACACACACACACACACACACACACACACACACACACACACACACACACACACACACACACACACACACACACACACACACACACACACACACACACACACACACACACACACACACACACACACACACACACACACACACACACACACACACACACACACACACACACACACACACACACACACACACACACACACACACACACACACACACACACACACACACACACACACACACACACACACACACACACACACACACACACACACACACACACACACACACACACACACACACACACACACACACACACACACACACACACACACACACACACACACACACACACACACACACACACACACACACACACACACACACACACACACACACACACACACACACACACACACACACACACACACACACACACACACACACACACACACACACACACACACACACACACACACACACACACACACACACACACACACACACACACACACACACACACACACACACACACACACACACACACACACACACACACACACACACACACACACACACACACACACACACACACACACACACACACACACACACACACACACACACACACACACACACACACACACACACACACACACACACACACACACACACACACACACACACACACACACACACACACACACACACACACACACACACACACACACACACACACACACACACACACACACACACACACACACACACACACACACACACACACACACACACACACACACACACACACACACACACACACACACACACACACACACACACACACACACACACACACACACACACACACACACACACACACACACACACACACACACACACACACACACACACACACACACACACACACACACACACACACACACACACACACACACACACACACACACACACACACACACACACACACACACACACACACACACACACACACACACACACACACACACACACACACACACACACACACACACACACACACACACACACACACACACACACACACACACACACACACACACACACACACACACACACACACACACACACACACACACACACACACACACACACACACACACACACACACACACACACACACACACACACACACACACACACACACACACACACACACACACACACACACACACACACACACACACACACACACACACACACACACACACACACACACACACACACACACACACACACACACACACACACACACACACACACACACACACACACACACACACACACACACACACACCCCTCCCCCCGTATCTTTCCGTGATTTCCTTGGACGAAGAAACAATCAATCCCCCCTTTCTAATTTTCACCATTTTATCCATCTACACTTGACTCTGATCTCTTGCTCTGCTTCCAATCCATTCCTTGGTATATTCAGAATCGTCCTCTTCTACTAACTGTGTTGCTGTATCCAGGGGCTGGATATTGAAAGTAAATATATGTTTTTTGTCAACAAGAGGCTGGCGGATAACATGGCGTGTGTTGGTGTTGGCAGATTTTAGCCAAACCTGTGCGAGATGTGAGTTGGGAACGGTCTCTTTGACTCAATAACAGCAATCTAATGCCCATGGCTTGAGCATTTATCTGAATTCGCTTAGTGATCCTTAAACTTTGAACTTGAGTGTAAAAACAAGAGATTAAATACCCAATACGGATCTTTTTATCGGAACGAGCGTAGGGATCTGTGTGCAGAAGCTGATGAAAAACCCAGTTCAATTCCTTGACTTCCTTCGTCCATTTCATTTTGAAGCAATTGAGGCAACTTAATTTTATAGATATTTCAAATGATTATTCATTATAATCTATTCAATAGTTCGGACACTAGATTTGACTATATAAAGGATAAGTCCGATATGCGAAGCTGAGCCTCGGCCGGGCTATGAGGGGAGCCCGGCCTGTGCCGAGTAATGGCGACTCGCTAACAGTGTGTCAGCAGGTGCTGACTCGGATGAGCTTAGTCCTTACCCACCGTGGTGCCCAGCCACAGCAGTAACCTCCAGGCGACAATTGCAACTTCTCGCGCCTGGCCGGGGCGCGAACCGCCGACCCCTCGGATGAAAGGCCGACACGTTACCACTGTACTAGCCCGGAGGCTTTTTTATACTATATAGATATAGGTTCAATATATTTTATGGTGGGTTTACAACTCTGCCTTCCTCTCTGTACGTGTATGTGTGTGTGTGGATCTGCGTATATACTTACGAAGTTATCCACTGGAATCTGGATGGCTTGAACTTCGGGCATTTTTAC